CAAACCAGGGGCACACCACAGGGACAGGAGCAGCCAGGATGAGAAGGGAAAAGGCAGGAAATGGAGCGGAACAGAAGCAGGTTGGCACTTGCAGTCATCACGGTACTGGAGAAGGGAGTGGGCATGAGGAGGCACCAGCGCTCCTCCATCCCATGCCAGGTGGCTGTTGTGGAAAGCTGTTAGCCTGCGGTTCCCTCCGCAGGGCCGCGTGACACAGCTGTGTAAGCCATCCCCCTACCAGGAGCAGCCTGCTTTCTTCTCGGGTTGTCTCTGGGCACCAGTCTGGGTGCTTTTTTCACCGATCTTCCAGCAACACTGGCCTGTGGCAGCTCGTTGTCTCCCTGCTGCCCGCTCAAGTAGCCACCACAGCCTCCTGTCAGGGCTGGCCGACTCCTAAGGCGGTTTTCCTACCACGGCACGAGGTGGCTAGTGGCATCGCATCACCCGGACCTCTGCTTTCCTCCTTCACACTGGTCAAAGACCAGATTTCCCTCTGCACTCAGCTGGACCTTCTCCGTACCTCCTCTTCACCCAGCATCGCCTCCCGCTTCCTGAGGAACCACATTAAATTCCCATCTTTCTCCCCATCAGGTAACAATCTAAGACTTAAATAAAATCTGTATGTTTTAACATCATATTTTTATGGTAGGCAACAAAGATTCAGTTTAAATTCCAGTATTCATCTTAGACCTCCAGTTTCTCCAGGTCTATCTTTGTTTCTGCCAGATTCTCAAGTGTGAAACTCTGGAACACTGCCATCCACTTAATTTTTCCCAGATATTTCTCTAGGATGGCACAGCTCCTTGGACCATGCGTATTAAACACAATAACTCATCCCCAGTGATGAGTTTTAAGTAGGAAACTTGTTCAAGCCTTTTAGCAGAATCCAGACAACGCAGCGTGCCGCCAAAACCCTGCCGACCCGAGGGGTTTCCTGAATGACGAAACAGCTGCAGGGACTCAATCTAACACCAGGGACGTGGAAGATCCTGGGAGCATAGGTTGAGATTCAGAAAACCCAGAAACAAGGACTGAATAATTGTTGTTTCATGTGCAGAAATGGTGATACCCTGATGCTGATTACGTTCTCCAAAACACACTTCCACAACAAAACGAATGCAGTAGACAAGGCAATGACCTACCAGGGAGAGGGGGAGGGAGATGTTGGCACTTACCCACTTGGCCTTTTTTTGTTAAGTTTTCTGACCACTCTTCCTTTTTCAAAATGTTTTTTTCCTACTGCTGCCAGGGACAACAAAGCCTCAGGCTGCCTTCTTCAACGGTGACGTTATTCCCTTGTACCTTCTGCTCGTGGAGGTGAAGTGGCTGCAATCCACGCTGTCTTTATCAGCTCTTGATCTGGATGCATACAAAGCAATGCTGTTAGGGATCGTCACTTCGGCTGCTCGGCACGTAATTTAAGAAACTGCAGACTAGGGA